TGTGAGTACCATTCCTTTACTAATAAATTTTGGTTACTGAGGTAATGCGCAAGGTTGGTGCGCTTCTTGTTTTTTTCACTTTGCAGTATTGTTCGGGCTTCCCCAGCCTTGTTTTGGAGCTGCGCGACCTTTTATGCTCTGGTTGTCGTTTCGTTTGGGTTTGATTTCACCTACTCACCACCGGCCTGGGTCCTGGAGCGCAGGAGGAATCGTATTTTGTCCCCTGCCAGCATACTGCAGAATAAAAACAAATGCTCTATGGGTGGAAGCAGTGGTTTCTTTGTAGGGGTCTGATGGACTCCCTGCCAAGTCAGAGCTATAGTTCTGTAATCAGCAAAATGATACAGTAACGGAGACTTCTAGTTCTGAATCAGTAAGGATGCATCAGACCTCTCAAGAGAGGCAACAGTTTCCACAAAGAGAGCAAAGGTCCTTTTCTGTAGGGAACCGGCTTCTCCACCCAGTTTGTGGTTACTTTCCAAAGAAAACCCACTTTACGATGTTACACAACTATGCACCAATAATGTAGAAAGAAAGTGTTCACCCACACAGGTATACACAGGTGTTCCATACTTGCCTGTGCAGGCAGTTCCATTGCTGTCTATTGGGACACAGTGGCTACATAGGCACAGCCGCTCTGTCCCAATGTGACATCCATGTAGGTGTGGGTGGGTGTCCTCGAATGCACCTACCTTGTGTATAGAACAATCTTTAGATAGCTCATATTGAATTATGAATTCACAGATGTATTCCAATTAAGGTCTATAGTCTTTTAAAGCGTCATGTTTACTGCTAAGATACAGGCGCACTTTAAAATCTCTACAGAAATGGAGCAAGCATTACAATGGCTCTTCTTGAACATCAACAGGGTTGCTACATAAAAACATCTCTTCTGACAATAGCTACTGATCACTGTCAATTTTTTCTTCCCAGCCAGTGTTAGAAATCTGCCTGCCATGCCCATTGCGAACACTGATCTTTCCTCCACCTATTTCATAAATCATTGGTATTAATCTGAGCTCGGTTGATGTCATTTGCTTACATGCTGTCATATTTGTGCATGTAGTAGCATTGCTCCCTACGCAATAAGTGACTTCCCTTTCACGCATGAATTTTCATGATATTAATTCTACAAATAACTAGGTCAGATATGTCAGCTACAGCTAAGCTTATCTTGTTGTTAAGTTAAACTGACTTATTCTTATGCAGACTGAGTGTCTGCAGGCAAAAAGCAAGACACAAAGAATTGGTGCCCCTTCCTATACAAAATCGTTTTATTGGGTTAAAAAAATGACATTGGGGTGGATTTACTAAAACTGGGGAGTGTAAAATCTGGTGCAGCTGTGCAAAGTAGCCAATCAGCTTCTAACTTCAATTCAAATGTAAGTGCAGCGCTAAAGCATAAGTGACAAATGCAATCATAGAGTGCTCATGTGAATAGAAGTGTTCATACAATGAAAATGTCTCAGATCATATAAAATCATAGAATCGTAAAAAAAACTCTAAAAATCTGAACATAAATAGTGAATATAAATAGTCCATGGGACTACAGGTCACCGAAGTGCCAAGTGATACGTGTGTGCTTTTTAGCAATATTAGTGATTATACAGGGTCCGTGGCACTACAGGTCACAGCAATGCCCGGTGATAATGGAACTACAAGGTGCAGCAATACCAGCTGGGATGCTCAAGACTGCTCATGATCCAACATGGTAATCCACCACCTTATATGGATGTGCACTCACCAGAATGCTACTTGTATATCAGCGTTAATGCTGATCCTTATGGGGGGGTCTCAGGAAGCCATAAATAGGGACCGGACTTCTCCAGGGTCAGGGCTATGCAAAACCAGCAAAGGATCCTTCTAGGGGGAGAAGCTCACCACAGGAGCCGTAGGTATGGCAATATATGTAGTATTTACTGTAAATAGTTAAAAATAATCCACTTGGATAGAGCACAGAGTTAAAAGCATAAAAGCATACCAAGATGGGCGCCGCTCTGAACTCCGGCCATGATGGTGTGTGACGTCACCACGTAAGGCTCTAACTTCAGTGTGTTCAATTAAGCTTTGACAATAAAACCTGGAAGCTGATTGGTTTTTATGCAGAGCTGCACCAGATTTTGCTCTCTCCAGATTTAGTAAATCAACTCAAATGTTTTCTGCTGTATTAAAGTGCATCTGTTGAATTGAAGAACATTATATATAGCCCAGGAGGAGGGTAGGAAAGACGAGTAGAGCCCCCTTTTAGTTATAAATGTTAATTGTATAATCTTAAATCCCAACCCCCAAAACATTAAGCTCCACCTCCCCATATATGTTACAATAGCAGCTTTAGAAAATGTAAGGACTTTAATGTCCCTTTAGGCCATATACAATGGTAGGGATGCACAAGCAGCAGGAAAAAAAACGTGTACCTTTTCTGAAAAATGAAAAAGTCAACTAACACTGTGCACTCTCTCCAACCCCAAGTGCCTCCGATACTTGTCTCAATGGGCGATGAGCTGTCAGTGCCACACAGCTGCTGTAGCGGTCTAGGGATCTGAAATTTCTGTTCTTCTCCCTCTTCTATCTGCAGTGCTTCCAGAATGGATCTGAGCAATTCTGATTGGTCAGTGACAGCACAAAGCATCACTCTGATCCAACCTGGAAGTGCTGCAGAAAGAAGAAAGAGGAGAGCATGGATTTCAAATAACCGGATTGCTACACCGGGCACTGACAGCTCCTCACCCACAGAGATGAGTACAGGAGGGGGGTATAGTGTTAGTTTATTCTTTAACCACTTCCCGTCCGGCCCATTTATATAAACGGCCGGACGGGAGCAGTGCAGGGGCGGATGGCCGTTTATAAACGTCCTCCCGCCTCCCTGCCTGTGCGCACTCCCAAGGAACACCGATCGTTGTACAGGAACTCTGTGTGAGGTCCCATTCATGTGATCACTGATTTGCCAATCAGTGATCACATGAATAGTAGTAAGAAAGATGTCACTTCTGACATCATTGCTTACTACGTGTGAAATCTGTGACAGATCACAGAGGTCACATGGTACAATGCTATTCACAACAGCCTTTTACCATGTGACAAGCTGTGACCAATCACAGTGCTCACGGTATTTCTCAAAGGCTGCTAGAATGCAGCCAGAGAGAAGGAGAAATGATTGCTTTTATGGCCTTTATGGGTGTAAAAGCAAGCAGTGTACAAAAAAAAAATAAAATAAAATCTTCATCACCCCCCACAAGTAGTACAGTGTCACTATGGTGACACTGTACTGCCAGGGTGACAGTATGTTAAAAAAAAAAAACATAAACAATGATATAAAAATAAAAAAAAAATGTAAAAAAAAATTTGTAAAAATTATAATTTTTAGTTATAAACTAATTTGGGTTATTTGTTTTTACTAAAAAGATAACTGAATACATTTTGGCCAAGATTTATGAAGAAAGATTATCTATTTGCAAAATTTTATAAGAAAAACACTTTTTTTCTAAATTTTTGGACTTTTTCATTTATATAGAAAAAAAATAAAACCCAGTGGTGAATAAATACCACCAAAATTAAGTTTTATCTGTCTCAAAAAAATGCTAAAAAACTTATATGGGCACACTGTTGCATGACTGCGCAATGGTCATTCAAAGTGTGATAGCACTGAAAGCTGAAAATTGGCCTGGACAGGAAGGGGGTGAAAGTGTCCAGACATGAAGTGGTTAAGCAAAAAATATTGAAAAAAAAAAAAACTGTACTGAGTAAAATACAGAGGCTGTCATAGATGACCTCCTTCTAAAAAGCTAGTTGCCTGCTTGTCTTTGGTATTAAAAATGACTAGAAAACTGACCCAGAGGAAACATACAGATCTGAAAAATCAGTGATATTAAATTCTTATTTGCATAAATATTCCATATCAGAGGTTCAAAATGTTCTGGATCACCACGACAGCCAGGTAACTAGTATTTTCAACAGGGAAGCTCACCAACGGCAGCATCCATACATCCTTTTAAAGTTTTCCTTTAACATTCTCAAAGAAAATTCAAACAAAATAGAGACCTTATAAATGAAGTTTCCTAAAGCAATCCACAACATGCAGAACGGCAAGAAGAAAACATGCAAACCACAGCAAACGGGCAGCCTGATCACAGCAAATTCAACATTACCGTGTTTATTTTTACGTTTAAAGCATCTAAACCACCCTTTCTTCTTTTCTCCCAGCAAATCCTCCAGTGTAACCCCTTCATGGTAAAGACACAACCATTTGTCAATTGAGCAGCAGGTGGCAGCAATGTTAACTTACAAGCAATGCAGAAATTGACACATTAATATTAAATACAACACTCCATTTATCTAAGAGGAAACACGCTCTTCTGATGGCGCTGCAAATGGTAATCGCAGAAGGCTCTATGCAGCTGTTTACGGTACACAATTGAATGAGCTATTAATGAACAGAGCCACAGAAATTAACAAAAGGTGCTAAGTGGCAACAGAAAACTAGCACAGTGCTTGTACTTACCAGAAGGGAAAACATTGTATGAATAAAACCGACAACCTTCTGACATCAAATAAAATATACACAACACTGATCTTTGTATATTGAGGTTTATAAGGGAAGGGGAATGGTGGATTACCGAAAAGTGGACTTCCACTTTACCTCCCTGGCGGTATTATTTCAGATTTTTGGTGCTGAAAGCGGTACCATTATTTTGCACGGAAATTTGGCGTTTTATATTGTAGGCCTGTAATTTTTAGGAATAACTCACTGAAATCTGTCAGAATAAGAGTCTAGTAAACATCCCGGGTAGGATAAAACTTGAAACACCAAATCATAAATTATAATTTAATAAATAATCATAAAAAATAATAATATAATAATAATAAATTTAATTCAATAATATAATCAAACCAAAAACACTGAAATTTGAAATATAGCGCCAAGTTCGCACATCACTGAGCAAAGTCGCAAAATTGTTTTCAGTGTCTGATGACGAATTTCCCCCACGAATCATTATCACTCAATTCTGCTAGCTGGTCTAAAACCGCTTTTGACCTAAAGGGACGCTTTTTGGATACTATGGACGTTTCTCAGTTTCCAGGCAGAAAGAACAGTAAAAATGCAGGCAGGGCACAGGACAAAGCACTCGGGACAAAATGTATGTGAAATGGTTTGATTCAGTAATGTTATACTATGAGATTTTAGTGAATGTCACTTTTTGTCATTTTTTAATTTCCCACCGTTCCGTCCCCCGTACGTCTCGACGCTCGCACAGGACGGAACCCAGATGACACATGCCGGCATCCGCCGGATTACATTGCTGGGGACACTGCAGGAGGGACATCGCGGGAGCGCAGGACAAGGTAAGTGCAAGAGGGATCGTGGAGCAGCGCCGCATGGTATTCCCGAGTGTAGCTCGGGGTTACCGCTTGTGGTACTGAAACTTTACCCCGAGCTACACTCGGGAATACCACCAGGGGGGTTAATAAAAGAGACCGTCTGGAGGAAAATAAATTTAATCTCCAAACATGGAAAGGTTTCTTCACAGTGAGAGCTGTCAAAAATGTTGAATAGACTCCCTCAAGAGTTGGTTCTGGCCAGCTCAGCTGATTGCTTTAAAAAAGGCCTGGATTCTTTCTTGGATACACAGAATATAACTGGATACTAACATTTATAGGTAAAGTTGATCCAGAGAATATCCGATTGCCTCTCGGGGGATCAGAAAGGAATTTTTTCCCCTGCAGGAGCAAATTGGATCATGCTTTGCTAGGTTTTTTGCCTTCCTCTGGATCAACTGTCGGTGTAGGATTATAACTTTTTTATTTTTTTTTTAAATGGTTGAACTGGATGGACTTTTGTCTTTTTTCAGCCAGACTAACTATGTAACCTTTACACATTATTAATATATGTTATATATACCGCCTTATAAAAACCTAATGTAAAAAAACACAAATGTGGAAGCAGTGGTCTATCTACAGACATCCAACCCACTCCTTCCTGAGACAGCACAAATCTCAAACTCTCTGCAGATTGAACAGCTATAGTTTAGATGGGGGTGTGTCATATCTCTGCAGAGTGACCGCTGCTTCTACATAGAGGGCAAGTCACCAGTTACTCCGTTGCAATTTAAAATCGCGCAATTTGTGTGCAATTTCAGCATGATTTCAGGTGAGATTTTTGAAGACTTTATTGCTACTTATGAAGATTTTTAACAATTTCCTGCAATTTGCAGTGCGATTTCCATTATATTCTATGTATGTGCAATCGCAACAAAACTGCAGAAAAAGTAATGCAAGAACTACTTTAGAAATTGCACTGCATATGTTAAGACACATTCACATTCATCAATTTCAAGTGCAATTTCAATTCTCAAATCACGCCTGGCACTGGTATGACCGGGAGCTAAGGGTCCTTCACTACACCATACTGACAGGGGAAGCCTGTCTATGCAGATAATGGGGTAGATTTACTAAAACTGGAGCATGCAATATCTGGTGCAGCTGTGCATGGTAGCCAATCAGCTTCTAACTTCAGCTTGTTCAATTAATCTTTCACAAATAAAACTGGAAGCTGATTGGTTTCTGTGCAGAGCTGTACCAGATTTTGCACACTCTAGTTTTAGCAAATCAACACCAATGGCTGCATTCTAAAAGAAACAAACTAAGTGTGAACACCTTTGGTTTTATGCACGTAGAATGTATTTCACTGGTTAAAGTGATCATAAAGCTTTGGATTTTTTTAAATTAAAATAATAACCATGTTATACATACCTGATCTGTGCAATGGTTTTCAATCCTCTTCTTTATTCAGTGCCCCCATAAGAAGCCGCTTCCTATGGGTATACTCGTGCGAGCTTGCTCCCGAGCCCTGCTGCCTGCGTCCATAGACACAGACAGCGGGGCATGGCTTTGCCCCTGTTCTCTCATCATAGAGCTTGACTGACAGCAGTGGAAGCCAATGGCTCCCACTGCTATTGATCTCCCCTGTGAGGAAGGACAGAAACGGGAGAGCAGTGGTTCTCAAGCACAGTGCTGGATCGTGATGGGGCTCAGGTAAGTATAAGGTAGGGGGGGTGAGAACAAAGGAAGTCCAATTGGCTGCACTCCAAACAATCCACTTTATTGAACCAAGATAAAACCAATATAGACAGTGGGAGACTGGCAGGTCCACTGTCTGCATTGGTTTTCTCGTGGCTCAATAAAGTGGATTGTTCGGAGTGTAGCCGACCGAACTTCCTTTGCTCTCATCTATGCAGTACACGAGCTGGGCTAGCACCTACAGGAGGAGTTGTGCTTGGAGACTGGGAGTCTCTCTACCTTGAGTAGCAGTAAACATATAATTATAAGGGGGGGGGGGCTGGGGGGGGGGGGATTCCAGAAACAGGTTTTTTTTTACCTTAATGCATGGAATGCATTAAGATAAAAAACTATTTAAAGTGTCACTAAACCCAGGACCCTGCATCCACTATATCTGGTCTCCCACAGTACACAGAATATGGAAGTGCAATTATTTTAGAAAATATAAACTGCTAAATACCTTTTCTCATCAGAAGTTAGAGCGGTCTTCTGACTTATATCTGTGTCCAGCCTACCACTAGCTAAAGCTTGTAGGAGGAGTTTTCTTTTTGCTCTAGGAAGATTGCAGAACCCCTGACCTCTGTATGAACAGTGCTGATTGGCCCTGTGCTGATCACATGCACACTCCCAAGAAAACAAATTATCTCTAGAAATATACACCAAACTGAGCATGTGCATGCCTACGGTTCAGTCTGAGACAAGTGGTGGTCGCTTGAAAAAGGGGAGGAACAGAGAAGAAAGGATCAAACAGCCTTTTTACACAATGCAGAGGATTAACCCCTTAGGTTGCACAGTGAGTATATCAAGCATGCTTTACTGCATATACAGACTGATTTTACTGCTGTGGGTTTAGTAACACTTTAAGGCTTTACAACCACTTTAAGGCTGCATTCAGAGGGATGTTTAGCCATGGTGCAAATCCCAGTGGCAGGAATCGATTGACTTCTGCTACTGGGTTTGACAACTGCGAGCGGGTAGCTGTGGCCACCAAGCCCGTACACTAAAATGACAGGCTGTCAGCAGCTGCAGGGATTCAGGTATTCCTGTTTGTTCGCACAGCCAGCCATCATGGCTGGAGACATCCTTGCCTATAAAATGTCTAACACCTGACCTGCATACTTTTCCCCTAAGCACTAAAGCTAGGATCAAGATGACAGCCATAGGAATTGCAATTTCAACAACAATTCATGAGTTGCAGCTCCCAGGAGTCTATCTTGGCAGGTTCTCTTTAGTTTTTAATTGGTGCCTTCGCTGACACCTGACTCCCATCTCCCCAGCCATCACAGAACCTCATAAGGCACATGGAACTCAATTTCAACCTTTCAATAGGCAATGAAATAAACAATGCATGTAAAATGTACATTAAGAGCGCGTCTCCGAAGATGAGGTTAAGCTCTTAGATGTGTGAGACAAGTTGTTCTTTTCCTGTGGGGAAGAATATAAGGTCAAAGCATCCCAGAGGACAGTGTCAATTAAATGAGAAATGTGCAGTGATAAAACCAGAGTGGCATAAGCTCATTAAATAACTTTGTGAGAGCAGCAAATCAGCAATATGTAATACTCAAGTCATTATTTTCAACTAACCCACCATTATTAAACAGATAACAAACGGCTGCAGTCACTCTCCGCAAGCCCACTGGAGATCGTATCTCTGTTATAGGCAGCTGTTGAAGGATAAAGTGCAATTTGCTGCGATGTATGGTAAGGGAATATTAATAGCTAGTGTCCTGTAAAGTCATGAATAAATCTGACTTCAGATAATCAGATAACAAAGCTGGACTCCAGGCAAACAGAGAAATCAATACTTGAGACCTGCCTTAAATACGAAGGGATTTATAATTCTGTTCAGCCAATTTAACAGTTCATCTTCATGCCAGACAGTACACCCAGAAAGGTGACACCTCTTTTTCAGAACAAGGCCAGCTGACTGAATGCATGAAGGCAAAAAACCTTGAGCCTTTACAAACACTTTAGATTAAGTTAAAAGCTGTTGAAGAAGAGCTAGAATTAGATATATTTTTCCATATTAAATTCATGCATGCTAAGTAATGTGCAGTGCAGGGGCGGACTGACCATTTGGAAACTTGGGCACTGTCCGAGGGCCCGGGGTCAGTAGGGGGCCCCATGAGATGCCCCTGGTACCTTTTTCATAGGCTTTTTTGAGTTTGGGTGAGGACACAGGGGCCCCATGATCCCCTATTGCCCAGGGGCCCCATGAGTTGTCAGTCTGCTCCTGGTGCAGTGTAACACATACAGGTATTTATTGCCTATCACAGAAATCAAAGTGTTCCACCTGAAAACACCTTCAGTTGCTCAGCACCATCTTTATCTCCCAGGGTCAGCATCCCCTTCGCGGACTAAGATGCTGACTCAAAGGGGGAGATTTACTAAAGCTTGTTCACTCAGAATCTGGTGCAGCTGTGCATGGCAGCCAATCAGCTTCTAACATCAGCTTCTAACATCAGCTTGTTCAATTAAGCTTTGGAAATAAAACCTGGAAGCTGATTGGTTTCTATACAGAAGTGAACCAGACTTTGCACTCTCCAGCTTATTAAATAAACCCCAAAGTGACAACATCCCAATGCCTGTGCAGTTCCTGGTTTTGTCATACATGTCCAACACAGATCAGTCACTGATACAGCCTGTCACTCTGTGACTTAGGCCCCATGTACACGAGGCACTTCTGAATGATGGAAACTGACTGCTGGAAAACGTAGGCTAAAAAACGCCTGTTTAGCCACGTTTGCATAACGTGTCTATGCGCGTTTGAGTTTAGAAGCATTTTTTAAAGATAAACACAGGAGAACCTCCCAAATGCACAGAATGCACTGAAAAGTGGTAAATTATTAACTATTTCAGATTGTTTCTGAGAAATACAGAGAGTAGAAGCAGAGACAGCAGTATGTGTTGAGATTAGTTTAGGTGTGAGTTGCTCATTAACATTTCTTTTGTTTCCAAGGGTGGGAAAGGTGTCTGGTGGAGTGAGTCATTAAGGCCACCTGGCAGGGGTCTTCATGAGGAATTTGAGGTGTGAATGGTCATTAACATATCTTTTGTTTCCAAGGATGGGAGAGGTCTGAATTGGTCATTACAATGTGTGACAAGCTTGTTTTGTCCATCTGAGCACCTTGAAAACGCTTTGCATGCATTTTTCATGATGAAAAACAGCATCGGAAACTGGAAGAGTTAAAAAAAAATTTCAGACGCAAATGCTTATAAACGCGATTTGCCACATTTACAAGCATTCTGCATTTGAAACGCTGATAAA